CAAATTTTAACATTTTTTTATAAACAGAAAATTTTAACATTTTTTTATAAACAAATTTTAACATTTTTTTATAAACAAATTTTAACATTTTTTTATAAACAAATTTTCACATTTTTTATAAACAAATTTTAACATTTTTTTATAAACATATTTTAACATTTTTTTAATAAACGAATTTTAACATTTTTTTAATAAACAAATTAACAATTTCTTTTATAAACAAACTTGTATTTCACATGCCGTTTTTATTGCTTTTTTTAATACTGTTGTGTACCGACTAGCGACTAGGGCCTTTCCATGTTTACCACGACTGCCCACGCTCACCAGGACTAACTATTTAGATCTACATTTAACTACTTACATCTACATTTTCCAGCCTACAACTAGCTATTGCTATTTCCCGTGCAGGCAGCACCCCTGTGTCCGCCTACAGCTGCGCCTTCGATAGACCACTCCCACGTTCGTCGGTAGCTGTAAATGTGTCCCTGACGCCTTGCCTTTGAATTCTGACTGATCTGTTGATTTTGGCGGTTTGCTCGCCCTTCAGCACATCCCTGATCTCCCTTGTTCGCTTAGCCAACTCTTGTCGATACTATTCTTTGTGGACCAGGACTGTACGCCACTACGGCTATTAATAATCGACCAACTGCAGCCTGCCCCTTATGGCCATCTGACTGGTAGTTTCCAGGTTCCCGGCCTTGTTAGACAGCTGACCGGGTTTTTTTGGTTCGGTCGCTTCCATGGTATCGGACGCCGGCTTCGTTGCTGCCACTAAACCGTAAAAATACTATGCTATTTTGTGAGCACCTAGCAATGTATCGGCTGAGACTTTTAACAGTGAACTAACAGTTGTTTACTGTTTACATTCTTAACCGAAATAACAAATGTTTTTTATAACACAGTTTCTATGATTTATTCAGCATCAGACATTCCCTTATCTATCGTTCTGATCATGTTTACCTAGGAATTATATTATTATTACCAGGATGTAAGCCGCGGTCTTCGTCCCGCACCTGTCTTGCTATGAAACACATTCTATCTGTATAAAGATAGCTGCCTAATTATATTTATATTAAAGTTAAATTAAAGTAATGAATAATTATAAGGGTATAAAAAGGTAGGACACAGGGCCTGATAGCTTCTTTCATAGTATAGTTTAAACAGTCTTTATTACAACACCAACTGTTCCTGTAACACAAGTTGGGCATTCTTACTCACGTGACACGTAAAGAAATAAACATTTGTACATTTGACGATATATCAACGCGGGCAATGCAGGTGCCATCGAAAATAGAAGAAAAATTGTAATTCAATTTAGAGGAACTATTTTTTTCAAATTCAATCAAGTTACGAAAGCAATCAATTACGAAAATATGCGCCATATCAGCCGCCTTAACTTTTTAAATGACACGTATGAAAGATTCGCTCTAAAAAGCGCTTGAAATTCACTCGGTATTTTGATTGAACTTTTTCACACTAGTGTCATATGCAGTAAGCCGTATGTCGCCGATGGTGTTTCACAGTCTTTACGCTAAAGTATCCATTGTAAGTATAGAGATATGTACTGCATTTTCACTCAGCTCATCGAAATCTTTCCTCTGGTAGGAAGCTGTACTTCTACATAGATTACCATGTTTTCAATATTGACACGGTATATTTTACTTTTAAATTTACGGATAGATGTATAGCACTTCGAATCAGTTCATCGAAAGCTTGCGACTAGTGCCAAGCAATACCCGCTTATATACATATCTGTTGACGCCCGCCGAATGTGGTATAATACCGTCATATGCCACACGGCCGCTGCCTTCTGTAGACGTAGATTCAAAAAACGCGCGCTTTTGCGCACCCCCCTCATCTAATGAGAGTAAGCTGAGAAGAAGCAGATGCAGAAACTTAACTACAAGCGATCACAAAGGTGCTTGGAATTGTATTGAATTCAGAACGACATGTATTGGTTTTTTGCCCGCACAGGATGCAGTCATTGTTGTTAATGCACCTCCGGCGGTAGGAGCCTGCGCAAAACTGTATGATCTACAAGAATTGCTGATCTCGTTCGTGCTAGTCTTGAAGCAAATACTTTTTAGCACTTCTCGTTTAAATCGCTTCTTGAGCGATACTGTTACCCGAACTGCTTACGCATTGGCTAGATTGGGGCGATGATATAGGAAGGCTCCCGAGCATCGAAGTACTGCTACTGTTTATTTCAAATTTGTAGGTGTTAATGGCCAGGTAAGGGTGTCGCTGATGGTGGCGTCTGTCACAACGAGAAACACTAAATGTTCCGAATCCGACGTCCGGCATCGCCCTTATGCGTTCCATCGGACAGCTGGCTCCCAGCAGGAAATAAGGCGTATCCGGTTTGAACCTAAGCCATTATGTATCTCTAAGATTAGTGGGCAACTACGTTACTCACTAAACTACCACGGCAGCAAAGCTGGGCTCACCGAATTTGAGAAAATGAAAATTCTTAGAAGGGAGGTGATGGCGGCGGCTGTGTTCGCCGCACGTTTACGTTTATTATATTGAAAGTATTTGGAACTTGAGGCTAAACCAATGTACTTCTGATCGGATGCAGAAGTCGTATTGGAAGAAATCCGCTCGGCTAAATCTGATAGCTGCGCTGTGTTCGTACGAAACTGGGCGTATGAAGGAGTTGGAGCACATTGGCGCGATAACCTCATTGCCCGAATGAAACGAATCCGGCTGACCTACCGTTTCAAGGTGTTGTTATGAGCAAGCTCAAAGTCACACGCTAATGATCAACGGATCCCACATTTTTGTCAGACCTATATGAGGCTTATCCGGCGTTCAAGCTTGGTGTTGTAGCGCTCAAACCGTCACCCGAAGCGAGAGCGCTTATAATGTGTAAAAGCTCGCTCGTCGACCCAGTTAACTTCTCGCAGTTACATTTGGCTTGCGGTGCTGCTTGCGTCAAGTGGGCCGTACTACGGTTCAGAGAGAGTCCACTGACAATACTCGACGGTAAGTACATTGTCAGCAGATGAATTCACCTTAGCGAAATAACGGCTACTTATAGAAACACAAAGGTATTACCTAAGGAATGGAGCAGTGAATCTCGAAAAGTGACTATGCATAGAGGGACTCGAGGATAACTGTTTTCGGCCTTTTTGTTGATTTTGTTGATTTAGATCAAGTCGGGAGTAGATCCAGCTGACCGTTCGAAATGCGGTGACCTATATTGTTGGAGAATGACGCGCTCACTATACTGCTCGTTGCTGATATCCCTAACGGTTGTATGAAGCTAATGGAGACGAACGCAAGAGCGCAGACTTGATCAAATTCGTAATCTACACGTGCAAAAGCTGTCGGTGAAAAACTACAAAAATCAGTTTAGCCAGGAAAGCGCCGCTGCCGGCAGAATGGACGGAGGTGTCATTCCCACTATTCTAGATTGTAGGGGTAAGGATGGCGGATGGAATCAAAAACCTGCGTAGTTCTGTTTACACGTCCCGTAGTGCGGGCTCTGCATCTCCAAGCGTTTGGTGGTCAATCGCAGGTTTTCAGCGTCGTACGGAGAGTAAACTCGTTTTAGACATTACGCTTATTTTCAAAAAGAAGAGGGCCTTGCGTTGCGAAGCTACGAGATCCAGAATTATTTTGACCAGCCCGGAGTTTTCTTGTGCTCCAATGTCTCACGAAAGTCGTGGCGGGCAGGATACTAC